TGCCATTTCAGTGGTCATTTTTGCGTGAAACAAATTATACAAGCAGTGAGTCAGCCTATTTTTAACATCTGATTATGATGCTTTTGCTTGAATTATTCAGATAGGCATGATAATTTTGTGGATGGTGTCACTGTGGTTGCCGCCATGTTTTGTAGTTCGATTTGCTCAATTGAAGGTACATATGTAGTAACTATCATAAGAATGTGACACTGAAAAGTATTCATTACATTAGGATCTTTCAATGGATGCTGTATTAATAATGCCAATTAATGTAAAACAGCAATTTTGGTGGTGCATTATTGGTATGTTTTGCTTTATATTTTCTGTAGGGTTCTGTACTCATTTTGATAACTGAGCTGTGTGTGGCATGATTACCTCTTACTTATAATGAACAGTAATGTATTGATATTATTTTGAAAGGAAAGCCCCCTGAGCTAACTGCACAAGATTTTTGACTGGAAATATGTCCATCAGAAATGACAAGTTTTGTGTAAGTTGCTATCAAATTCTGCTAAATAATGCATGCCTGTAAGTATAATACTGTACTGCTGAAAAGTTGTCAAAGGATTGTCTTCCATAACTTCCTACATCTTATATTTAAACTTTGCTACAAGACAGAAAGAGAGAATGAGAGGCTGAGAGAGCGAGAAGTAAGATATTGATCCGGAGAGATTTAAATTTGTCATTGTGTCATGAGAAATAAATTTAAAGAACTAAAATAGTAGTGAAGTCTCAGTAACGAATAATGATTAGCCTAGGTATGAATAATTAATGATTCAAATTTTTTAAATAGTAATTATAAATTGTTTATATGGTTCTAATGGCTTTTATTTCAAAAATTCTTTTCTTCCAATAATGAACCGATAAACTTTTAAACTTAAAAATGGATGTCAAATTTAATACTATCAATAAAAAGAATTCTAAATAATTAGTATTTCAATTAATAATAATAGAAGAGTTAATTAAATTTGTTTCTAAATAGTGGAATAAGTTTATTGACATAATAGGTGTTTAGTTTTAATGGTTGAATCCATCTCTGAATGGAATTGACAGTTGAGTCCTTGTGTTTGTGTGGGTTTAATGGTTGAATCCGTGTCTGAATGGAATATGCATGAAGGGAATTGAATCCTGTTGTCTTANATTCATACCAATTATTGTACATTTATATAGCATAATGCATGCAAGCTACTATTTGATGTGTTTTAGTACGTGCAAGTGTCTTACATCATG